AACGACATACGCCACCAGCGACCCACGCGATGTAATTGGTCCTGCGGGGCACTGTCAGCGTGAACCTCTCCTAAAAGTACTCGCTGCAGCGAAGTCGGTTAGTCTCTCGTCTTGCTGCGCCGAGAGACTTCAGCCAGACTCGACTCCAAATCTAACACACGACCTTATAGGTAGAGCGGACACCGACACACCGATTAATAAGTCAGTCTCTTTTGTCCACGCATATTCTGCAATGCAACGTACTGGGGCGTGAGTCGCAACTTTTGCGCAACCCTTCTAATTACCTCTGACCAGGCGGACAAGCCGGCCAAATGACGCCCGAGCTGATCACTGCAGTATAGGTCCCTAGGTTTTTGTGCATGGTGCCCTCCGAACAGTCGGATACCTTAGTGGGTAGTGGTGACCGTAACCCTGAATGAGGAAAGACTCTACCGACACCAATCACCGGCAAAGCTCTGCAGTCACACGTTCCGGTTGAATGCGTCAACTTAAACCCGTAATTCCACACACATATAACCAGTACAACAGACGCAAGTTGGGCAACGGACTCTCGCCCGGACCTTGTCCAGTGACCAAGTGAGTAGGTATTAAATCCATTCGTGACTCCGATAGTAGTAAAGATTAGTGTGGTGGAGGGTAAGTCCCGTGTTTATAGCCACCAAAATGTGTGGTACTGTCTCATCCTCACATACTACCACGAATTCAGATATTATGTGATGACGTAATTTATGGTTTAGTTTCCAATGGTACGAGACATAAGTCACTTTATAAATATACAAAGAAACATTAAACTTTGACGTCAAAAAAGGGTAGGAGGTGAAGACAGTGTACGTTGTAACTAACATTATTAGTATATATATCCGATTGCACGTACATTCGCACTCCATACCCAGTAACCCAGTATCAGACACACCCATAACCGGTACGGAAATGCAGTGGAATTTAGGGTGTCACCATTCATTAAGGAAAAAACACACAGAACAAACCATACCCAACCGTCGGTACCGGAAATTACCCGAATATCCTAGTCGAGCATTAAGTGCCGGACACGGAACATACGACCCACACTACAAAACTAAAAGTGATTACCTAGTTAACTTATAACTATGACTTATCATGTTTATTATTGTTTGCAATGAATAAATATCAATAAACAGTAGCGTAGACACTGATTTATACACTATAGTCATAATACTCGTTCCACACACACACACACACACACACACACACAATAATAAATAATAACTGTAACAACTGACCACGTCAGTACGGACTAAAATTCAGAAACCTGTCAAAGGCACGAATTACGGTGCACCACGCAAACATGACGTGATTCTTTCTACTACAGACTCGAGGCGATGGAAGCGAACCCCGTGATTTTCCGACCATTAACCGTCCAGAACGTAAGGCATGGAGGAGACTTCGAATGGGTACTCGTCAAGGTAGGGAATTAATAGGTGTCGGCTTCGAAAAAACGCAGTACCGATACGGAAAAGAAGTTCCGTGAACAGAAGTTGCAACACGACGAAGAATGACGGGTACCAGGTCTCAGTTCAAGTCCACAATCTAACGAAACCGGGAATCAGGTGTCAGACAGTAAACGTAATGACATGTCGTGAGGATAACTAAACTTCCTTCTTAGACACAAACGAGTGATCCGGACGCCGCTTAAGTGTCGTTTCCTGCAACACTGCCCGTTAATTGCAGTGAAGTGCTCGTAATTACGGGCCACCCTAGGTCGAACGACACTTAGAGAAACCTTTTTTCACCGAACGTTCTGGTAACTCCCTGAGAAAATCCTGCCACAATCGTCTCTTCTGTATACGGAGACACGCTACCAGCGGATTAACTGTCTGAAGAAGCCCTGCCTCTGGTCCGTGTCGAACGACCGCGCGGCAACCACCATGGTTGGTTTTGTCACAGACGACGAGTCAACTTGTGATTCGTCCAAGGGAGTACAGAACGTTCGGTGAAAAGCATATAAGTCCGCTTCACAATAGTGGCCCGTAATTAACGAAACACTTCACCTGCGTCAATAACGAGGGCAACTCGTTGAGCAAACAACACTTTTCAGACAGCGTCCCCGGATTAACTCCGATTAGTCGCTCCTAAAAGGAAGTTAGTTAAAATCCCCTCACGAATAGACATACGTTTTACGTCTGACAACACTCATAACCACAGGTTCGATGTTAGACTTGAACTGAGACGCCTGGCTACCGTCATGTACTCTGTCGTGGCCAAACCTCCCGTTCGCCTCTTTCCGTATCGGTACTGCCGGTTACGAAAGCCGACACCCTATTAATTCGCCCCATACCAAACGAGTACCCAATGCAAGGTCTCCTACATCCCGCTAAGTTTGCCGACGCATGGTCAAAATCACCAGGTCCGTCTTTCAAATCGCCTAAGTCTGTAGTTATCGAAAAACTCACGGCAATGTTTGACGTGTTCCCAACCGAATCTTGACCTTGACAAGTTCTGAATTTAACCTCACCGTAACTGACGTAGCAGTTGTACAGTTATTTGCAAAATATATAATGTGTGTGTGTGTTGTGTGTGTGTTAGTGTAGATACGTAATTTTTCTTTGTTTAATTAGACTATAAAAGCGTATACAAATCGATGTCTATCGATACTGTTATGATAATTTACATTATGATATTTTCATAACAATACAATAAACAGTATTAGTCCATAGATAAAAGTAACTCATGGTAATAAACTTTTTACGTAGAAGTGGGTCGTGATGTCCGTCGGCCCACTAAGTCTCGACCAGGGTTATTCCCGGGTAATTCCGTTTACCGGAACGAGGAGATATTTGGATGAGTCTGTGTGTTTTTTCTAATGTAAACAATGGTGACGAACCACCAATCATCCAAACTGCAAATCCGAATACCCGGATATGGGCTGTGTCTGAGTACGGTTACTGAGTAGGAGTGCCGAAGTACGTGCATCGATAATATATTACTAATAAATGAGTTTGTTACAACCGACACTGCTTCACTCTACCTTTTGACGTCAAAGTTTAAATGTTCTTGTATATCATAAGAGAACTATGCTCGTACCATTGGAACTAACCATAAAATTACGTATCAATACTTGAATTCGTGTTAGTTAGAGATGAGACAGTACCAGACACATTTTTGGTGCTATAAGAACACGGGATACCCTCCACCACCGACTATCTTACTACTATGAGTCACGGCAATGGATTCTAAATACCCCTACGCTACACTTGTCACTGGACGAAGGTCCGCAGGCAGAGTCGTTTGCACAACTGCGTCTTTGTACTGGGTTATATGTGGTGTGAATTACCGTTTAAGTTCGACGCAAACCGGAACCGGTGACTGCAGAGGTTTGCGGTGATTGTGGGTAGGTTTTAAGGTGTTACGCAACAACTACCCAAAGTAATCCGATTTCGGCAGGGCACCATGACGACTGAGGGGGATATACAGACGTGACAACCGGTCATTGGCGTTGTGCTGCGGTCAGGGGGTAATTAGAAGGTTTTTTTGGGAAGGTTTGGACTACGCGCCAGTTACTTGCATAGCAGCAATCATGCGTGGACAAGAGACTTGGGGACTTATTAATCGTCATTGCCGTGTCCCGGGCTCCACTATAAGTCGGTGTTAGATTGAGTCAGCGTCTGGCTGGAAAGCTCTCGCCGCAGATCGAGAGACTAACCCGACCTTCGGTCAGCGAGTACTTAAGGAGAGGTTCACCTGGACAGGCCGCCGGCAGACCAATTACATCCGCGTGGGTCGCTGGTGGGCTATCGCAGATATGTGTTACACACAAAAAGACATAGTAATATATAAAACAATATTAACAAGCGACGCTAATACAGGAAATCTACAACGGTCACCAACTTACATTAATACCAAACACCTAACCCCCCCCTTTGGAAGGTCAGGCAATACACAAATTCGAAACAACAAAAACCCAACACATTTAGGGAAACGTGATGATAGCTACTGAGTGAGACAAAGTTAACTAAATATCGGAAATTCCTTTATAAATCGAAATCCCAATGAAAAACATACTAATTATTGTAGGTACTTAGATCATTAATTTATTAGATTACCAAAGAGTGGCGATAAAACACATACAACAAAAATAGATCTAATTGAATAAGAGTGATTTTTGGAATGGATCCAATGTATGTTATTACATAACGACAATATAGAAACCCCTGTAAAGAGGAATGTTTAGTAAGATGTAAAAAGT